TTGGTTGGAAATTTTTAAAAGATGCTGAAAATAGGTCTCCCATCTCTTCTGTGGAGAGATTTGCTGCTTGCCTGATTGGGTTCCCTCTGTACTTCACTTGGTCCTTCTCTCTACCTCTAGCTACCTTTAAGATTTCTTTTTCTTTTGCATTGACATTGGTGAATATGATGACTATGTGCCTTGGGGACATTTATGTCATGTAGTTTCTGTCTGAGGTTCTCTGTATTTCTTGGATTTACATGTCAACCTCTCTAGCCATATTCGGAAAATTATCATGGACCTTATCCTCAAATATATTTTCCAAGTTGCTTATCCTCTGTCCTTGCCTCTCAAAAAATATTGATGTGTCATAGATTTGGTTTGTTTACATAATGACATATTCCTTGGATATTTTGTTTATTTTTCTCAATTCTCTTCTAAAGTTTTGTCTGAATGAGTTAATTTGAAGACTTGGTCTTTGAGCTCTGAGATTATTTCCTTTACTTGGTCTATTCTGCTGTTAATACTTCCAATTATGTTATGACATTTTTGTAGAGAGTTTATCAGCTCTAAAAGTTCAATTAGGTTCTTTCTTACATGGCTATTTCATCTTTTAGTTTTTGGATAATTTTACTGGATTCTTTGTTATTTCTTGGATGGAGTTTCAAATTTCTTCTGAATCTTGATGAGTTTCCTTGGCATGTAGGCTCTGAATTCTGTGTCTGTCATTTCAGGCATTTCACACTGGCCAAGAAACATTTCTGGGAACTAGTGAACTTGTTTGGAGGTAAGGGGACATTGGCTTTTTGAATTGCCAGATTTCTTGCACTAATTATTTCTCATCTGAGAGGGTTGTTGTTCTTTCAACTGTGGTGTGACTTAAGTACAGTCAGTTGGCTTCATTCCTAAATACTTTCAGAGGGCTATAAATCTTTACTTGTGGGTGAATTAGTGCGCTGGGTTTCACAGCTGTACACATTAGTAGGCTACATTTTTGTTGTTGTAGTTTGGGCTGTGACGCAGTAGATGGCGCTTAAGAGTAATAACCAGTACCTAGGTTAATACTCAACTGTAGCTTGTTTGTACACGCTTGAATTCAGAGGCATGCTCTGCGGTGAGTTTGAGGGAAGAAGTGGTCCCCTCACCCGGTTTACTCTTGGGCCTTGAAAGAGCCTCTTCGATTGCTAGCACTGCATCTGCATTACGTTGTTAGGTGTACTGGGCCACGGGGCCCCTTCCGACAGAAGCTGCGACAGAGATATGCCACACACTCTGTGGACCAGCTCTGTGGAAGGAGGCATGCCTTGCTTCCACTCCGGGTCAAGAACCTGCATGTCTTATCCCTCTCAGTGCTCTGAGGGAGAAGGCTCCTCTCTCACTCGAGTTTCCGCCACAGGTCTTGACTCCATACTCGTGTGCTGCAGTCCAGAATGTCCGTGGCTCAAGTTGAGGTTTTGGCTACCCTGGGAGATCCGATATGTTCCTGGGTCACCTGGAAATTACTCAGGTGCAGCAATGCACTTAGGTGGCGCTGTGGTGGCTGCACTGTACATCCAATCCTGCAGGATGGCTTGGCATAGACTCAGAAAGGCTGGCAGGCAGGAGGGCTTGCAGAGCAGATATGCTCCAGTCCCATGGGGAAGTTGGCTCTGCACTTTCCTGGCTCAGAGGTCAGCTGGGGCCCGTGCCTCCCAGAGGGTGATGGGGAGCCCTGGGAGACTGGCATATTTGGCTTCTCTCCACTGCAGCTTCCCAGCATTGAGGCTCCTGAGCTCTCTGCTGTTTTCTAAAAGGCCTGTCTCTTCTCACTCCCTGGGGAGATCCGCCTGTCAAGGTGCAGGTTCATGGGAAATGCGGAGTCTCCTGTAGCTGGGATCCCAGAGAACCACAATAAGAATGAATTGTCTCTAAGTTCCCTCCCTCACCTCTTTCCCAAAAGCCATTCAAGACCAGAAATTAGCTCTGGCATTCAGGTTCCCTGTGCAAGTTTCCCAGTTTTTTATCTCTTCAGCCTCATCATCAGTATTGGCTCTCCATCCACTCTCAGCAAATTATCCTGGTTTGCTGGATAATTTCAGCTCTCTCAACGGAAGTGATGCTTCCTGGCAGCATCTAGTCAGCCATCTTGTCCTCTTTCTCATTCTCTTGTGTTTTGAATGGGAAAGCAGTGTATATGCGTATAGAATGGTAGAATATATGATATGAAGGTCAAAGTCATTACATCCTAATTGCATTTTTTTCCATAAAGTTTATGTCTAGGTCATTAGCTGAGGTAGGTGATTCTGACTAAGACTTTGAGAAGAAAAAATAAGGGTTAAAATACCTGTCTTTGAGAAAAGGAAATGAAAGTTTTAGGGAAGTGTAGTAAAAATTTTGTCAGTGTTGATTATTCACTTGAGAAACTATGTCATAACTTTTCAGCAAATCCAATCAACATGGTTTTGTGAGTTTTCTACTATATAACCAGATATTTTGTACACCATGCAGATAGCAGTAAACTATATTGATCTAAAAAGGTTGAAACCCAATAGCCAAAGATAGAACCATGAGATTGTGTAGCTGAATTGAGGTGGATAATAAAGCCATTAGACATGAGATGAAAGAAGCTAACGTGATGAAGAATCAGAAGCTAGTATCTTGAGTTTCTTGTCTATATGAATAAAGAAGTTTTTAGGAATGATGATGAAGTGAACTACAGTAAAATAGGTATTAAATGAAATATTTTATGAATTAAATATTGTGCCTTGGTTGATACATGTCAATGACATGGAACACTTACAAGTAGTAAAATTCGATGATGTATTTGAAAGAAACTTGTTTTTGTATAAAAGGGAAGACAGTCTAGAAGTGGTGGGAAGTAAGGAAGCCTCTTATCTATCACCAGGCTCTGGCATGATGAAGATGGGGAGGGGGCCGTGCTTGAGAGAGCTTTAGAAAAAGCTGTATCTTTTTGAGTGAAGTAAAGTGAAAGGAGTATTCAAGGTACAGTTGGAATATGTAAAAATGTTTGCTGTTGATCACTTTTGAGCTCCAGAAAGACAACTACAACATTTAGTAAAGGTGGTGAAGTGTGTGCATGTGTGTGTGTGTGTGAGTGTTTGTGCGTATGTGTGTTTGTGTGGTATAGTGGGGAAAGGGAATGAGGTCAGATTTGAGGATTTATGGACAACTATGGGATTGAGTGTTTATAGAAGGTGATGTGATGCGCGGTGGCACTAGACTTGAAAGTAGTAACATGCAGAATACGAATATCTTTCGGTGGCAGCTGGAAACACTGCAAGTTTCACTTATTTTCTATTCTAAGTTTTACTGCCTACAAATAGGCTAAGGACGTATAAGGATGTATTTTTTGATCCATTAAAGCTGATCGATGGAGCAAAAATTCTGAATATAATGCTTCAGTGAAGAATCTGCATTTTGAAACACTCCTCAGGTGATTCAGATGTTCAGTAACATTTGAGAGAGACTGGTTTAGTAAAAATTTATAGAAGACTTATCACAATAATTATGTCATGTGTATTTATATATTTATATACATATGTTTGTGTGTGTATATATATATACATTTATATGCTATTTGAAAATAGAATGTGAATCATATACAAATAACCTTCTTATAATGATTGAGGGTACTTGAAGCAATAAAGTCTTGAGCATTTTATGCATTATTCTTATAGTTATTTTTATTCAATTAATGTGCATACTCCTTGAAGAAAAGAATTGCTAAGCAAAGGTAAATGAGGAATTACCTTCTATTCAATTATTATAAATGTTTCATTAGAAGAGTTTAAATTAATTGTGTTACATTATTTACTTATTGTGTATGTAATTAATCTACATTTAGAATTTATTATTAGATGTTTGGGAAAGCAGTATCAAAATTCTTGAATGTATATGATTTTGAAAAAGTCTTGCATAATTGCTCATATTTGAAATATTACTACAATGCAAAAGTTTCTTATTTATAGCTATAATTTAATTCTAATGCTTATCTGCCAATACCTCTATGTTGGTGATACAATAACAAACATGTATTAAAAGCTTAGTAGATTCCAGTTGTCAATATATGTGTTAATAAACGTATTCATCACAACCACCCTATGAGTCAGTTACTATTTTTTTTCTGTTTTAAGCTCTCAGGGAAACTGCAGAATATGGTTGTTAAATAATTTGATCAAGGTCTCCCATTTAGTAAGTGGCAGGGCAGAGACCCCAAAATAAGTAGTTAGATTCCAAGCCTGAACTGTTAATTACTGTATTCTATAGCTTCCTAAAACTACTGTTCAAAAGACAGTGGTAGACAATTTGTAATGAATAGATCTTTAAAATTTAGGTGGTTAAATATTTTATGCCAGTATTCAGAGGAAAATACAATTACAACTTACCCATTAAAAAGCTATAAAAATTCCCTGCAATACCTATTTTCTTGCAACAAAAAGCAGGACATAATAGTGAAATAAATAGAGTCAGTGAAAGTGTAATTTTAATCTTCAGCCACTCACCAAAATTGACACACACCAATTTAAAAAAAATTGTGACATCCTTGCATTTCTAACCTAAACTGGTATTTTCCAAATTTCGCAAGTGGATATCTTGATACAATACATATTACTAAGCACATACGCTGGGGTTGCTGGTTCATTCATTCCAAATTTGTAAGTAAGAAATATTTATTTTAAACAAATACCCTACTTGATTTTTATGATCTGGGAAGCAATGGTCTGAACTCTAGATTAAATTGTTTTGGAGTTGTAAAGTATGATCTAAGAATACACAAGCACATCTCTTTCTTAAACCAAAACCACGTTCGATTAAAAAGAGTTTTGAAAATTGAAGCATGATTTTAAATTCTGAGATAGCAATGATTTATCTTGCTGCTGATTATTTTCTAGAAAAGTACACTTTTGTTATAGCTATTACCCCTTTACCCTTGCCTTCTTATTTATTTGTAATTTTTAATTTAATATAAAAATTTGTTGACACTCTACACTTCAGTACAGAAGAGTTACATTTCACAATACCTTAGAACACGGATTCAGCTTAGGATCAGACAAGTACACATCATGTAAAAATTGTAATATTATTATGAATCAGCATCATTCTCTGTGTCTTCATCTTCACACACAGAATCAGAACATGGAAGCAAAATGCTGAATAGGAAAAAAATAGAAAATTAATATTAATATGGGAATCTAGGAAAGGACTAAATTTGTTGCTTGAGATTTGAAATACGCAAGAATTTTGGTTTTGTGCTCACACATCTGTTTGCCACTTTATTTGTTGTTCATTTCTTGAAGAAGGAAGGTCATTTTTTTAAATGAGATCTTTTCCAAAGTCTTCTTCGGTGTGACTATGTGGGCATCATTTAGCCCCCTCAATGGTAGAAAACAGAGAACTACTGAACCAAAAGTAACCCACAAAGCTGATTTCCCTGCTATGGTAATTCATCATAATCCACTGAGTGATCAAAACTGTATGTCCTGGTTGCTGAAATTAATGTTTTGTGTTTGTTTGTTTGTTTGTTTTTAAGGCAGGGTTTCATTCTATTGCTCAGGCTGGAGTACAGTGGTATGATCATCACTCACTGTAACCTTGAACTTCTGGGCTCAAGCAATCCTCCCACGTCAACTTTCCAAGTAGCAAGGACTACCGTTGCATGTTACCACACCCAACTAAATTCTTTTTCATTTTCTGTAGAGATGAGGTCTCACTATGTTGCCCAGGATGATCTCAAACTCCTGGCCTCAAGCAATCCCCCGACTTCCGCCTCCCAAAGAGGTGAGATTACAGGCGTGAGTCATGTTTTAACATCTAGAAGAGGATTGTCAGGAATAAATTCAGAATACCCATATTACCTGTTTCCAACACCAATCTCTGACTTTTTTTTTTAGTTAACAAGCACTTTCTCTTCTTCTGATTCATATCCTTGGAATTTGTTTAACTTATGCTTTCTTTCTAGTTTCCCAACCCTAGACTTTCTCTATCCTGCAAAGTCATCAAGACCCTTACTTTGCTAGTTCTAAATTCTGGTAGAACATAGAATAATGCAAATAAAACCATGTATTTTCAATTGTAGCACACATATGCTGATGGCCTATTTGTGTAAAAATATGGATTCTTTCTTTCTTTATTTTCTTTATCGCTGACATGATCTGGCATCTTCTGCTTTCAATTTGTCCTGAGAATTTGTATACATAGATCTTACATTCAATAAGATACTGGTTACTAAAGACCAAAGAAAATTAAGAGAACCTTCAGCCCAAATCAAGAAAAATAAAGAATAAAAAGTCTATATAAATAACGATCCACAATCTCCTGGGTACAATGACATTTTTAGAACAAGCACAGATACCTAATTTCTGTTCTCTACATTATGAAGAAAGAAAGGCTAAAGAAATTAAAACCCAAAGAAAATCTTTTCCCAGACACAGAGTAGTTTATCAACCACATGCTCTGAATTTAAAGTAATTTCTACTAGATAAATTTCTGAAGAGACTAATTTAAAAGGAAACACAAAGTGTTAACTTCCAATTAAGTGAGACAATGCCAAAAATAAATGGCAAGTACACAAGATATTAGGCAAAAATTATGAAATGAGACAAAAATCTATGACATTATAGTGATATTTTCCAAAAAGAAATAAAGATGCCTGTGAGCATCTAGTCAGCAAAAAATGCCACCACCACATCACTGTTCTTTTTATTTTCTCTCAAATTTCATTTTAAAAAATGTCAAATGTACAGAAAATAGAGTACTTCTCTACCCATCCACTAAACGGTATGATTATTAATGTTTTACCCCATTATCTTCCTATATGTGTGTGTGTATACATACACACACATATACACCTGACATTTACATTTCATATCCTGAGCTTTTTAAGTTTCAGGAATCTTGAAAAATTTACCCCTAAATATTTCCAGATGCATATTCTAAGAAAGGAGACATTTTGTTATATGACCACAATGCCATTATTATCAATTAAATAGAATTACCTAATATGATCTAGTATGTACCCATATTTAAGTGTCCCCAATTGTCCTCAATTTTCAAATATGCCATTATTATCAATTAAATAGAATTACCTAATATGATCTAGTATGTACCATATTTAAGTGTCCCCAATTGTCCTCAATTTTCAAATATCTGGGATTTTTTATACTTTTTTGGGGGCTAGGATCTAATAAAGTTTGCCCATTGTATTTGGTTGTTATGTCTCTTTAGACAGTTTTAATCTAGAAGGGTTTCCAATCCTTTTGTTCTATCATAACATCGACTTTTTGAGGAATTCAGGTCAGTTTTCTTGTAGAATGCTACATATTCGAGAACGATATATCTTTTTTAGGTATTATATAATTTGTTTCTCTATTTCCTGAATTTAATTGTGTATCTCTAAATAAAGCAAAAATCAACTTCATTTTTATCACATTAAATAGAAGAAAAGAAATGGTATAATAAACATTTCAAATGAAAATAGTGTGACTGAAAAGAAGACTTTCTGTATATTTAAGTATATATTCATGTATGAGACGACAACAAGATATTCTCAGTTGTGCAATATTCAAAAATAATACAAACATTGAATTCAGAAGTCATGGTATAAAAGGACTGCTGTTAAGCTTTTCAGCAAGTATTGACATTTAAAATCTTATAAATATGTTTGCAAAGCAATGCAAAAAATGAAGTAATTTATGACAGAACACTTCTCCAACTTAGAAGGAAAAAATGATGTGGTGAGATTCACGTCATAAACATGTTTCCAAGAATCAATGCAGGAACTTAACAGGAAAACTGAAAGATACCACAGAGTTTTTTTGAAAGAAGTGGTTGGCTACAGCCTACACCATGGGTCAAGCAGAAAAAGCATGTGGAAAAAGAAAGGAAAGTGAAGCAGTGACCTAGACAATAGAAATTTTTTGGCCTGGCCTATTTCATTAGATGGTTATATCGATGTTATTAAAATGTTTTATGATAATAGTCATTTTATCTTAAATATTCTTCCTTACCCACATGCACAAACCATAAACACACTATGGATCTGCAGTGATTACAACTTGCTAGTGAAGATTCTAGATGTTTAGAATCTCTCTCTTAGTTATACTTATATTGCATGCCATTATTTTGTAGAATTATTGCTACCACTATCATATGGTCTTCTTTTGGCCAAGTATGTTAATAGTATATTAATCATTGAAATAATAAATAATGTTTTTAATTTGTGTAGACTAATTTTAGAAGACTTGAATCCATATCTATGCTACTATGATTATATGAAAATTAGGTATATCTGCTATAATTTTTCCATAAAACTTAACTAAAGAATGTTAGCTAGGCAAGTGAAATTATATACATATCATAAGGACATGTGAAAACCCATGATGAATTCATTAAAAAGCAAAAAGAAAATTATATATGTTTCATTATAATTTTAATAAAATAGTGTTACTATAGCTATATTAAAATAATATTTTTGGGGAACTTGCCATGAATTATTTTATAAATGAAGTTCCATTGGAAAATGGTGTGTCATTATGTAGCCTATATTGATCATCTTTATAACTAAAGTTTTGGAGAAGTTGTCTTTGTGTACAATTTTTTATTGTGATAAAAATTACACAACATGAAATCTAATCCCTTAGCAAATTTTTAAGTATATAGTACAGTGTTGTTAACTGTATCCAGATTTCTGTACAGAAGATTTCTTGAATTTTTCATTTTGCTTGAAGGAAACTCTATATTCATTGAATGCCAACATCCCATTTCTTCATCTCCCCACTGTCTAGCAAACATCATTTTATTTCCTCTGCTTCCATGAGTTTGATTATTTTGGTGATACATATAAATAGAGTTGTGGAGTATTTGTCTTTCCATGACTAGTTTATTTCACTTAGCATAATGTTCTGAAGGTTCATCTATGTGGTAGCATGTGACAGAATTTCCTTCTTTTTTAAGGATGAATTATATTTTGTTGTATGTATATGTTACATTTTCTCTATCAATTCATTCATCAACGGACAGGTAAATTGTTTTCACTTCTTGGTTATTCTTAATCATGCTGTAATAAACACAAAAGTACAAATATCTGATGTCTTGACTTCAATTCCTTTGAATAAATATCCAGAAATAAAATTGCTGGCTCATATGGTAGTTTTATTTTTAATTATTTTAGGAACTTCTATGCTGTTTTTCATGGTGACTGCACCATTTCACATTTCCATCAACAATATATTATACAAGGTTTCTAATATCTCCACATTCTTAACCAACACTATTTATTTATTTAATTTACATAATGGTCATCCTAACTGGCTAACACAGTAAAACAAAAAATTAGTCAGGCGTGGTGGTGCGCACTGGTAGTCCCAGCTACTCGGGAGGCTGAGGCAAGAGAATCTCTTGAACCTGGGAGGTGGAAGCTGCAGTGAGCTGAGATCGCACCACTGCACTCCAACCTGGGCGAGAGAGTGAAACTCCATCTCAAAAAAAAAAAAAAAAAAAAAAAAAAACGAAAGAAAGGAAAAAACATGTGATGTCTTTTATTTCTTTTTCCTGATTTATTGTTCTGCCTAAGACTTCCAGTACTACACTGAATAGCATCAGCAAGAGGGAAGACTCTTGTGTTGTTTCTGATTTTAGAGAAAAAGCTTTCAATTCTTTACTGTTGTATATGTTGTTAGCCTTGATCATTTCATATATGGCCTTTATTATGATGAGATAATTTTTCTATTTCTAAATTGTTGAGTGTATTTGTCAAAAAAGGGTGCTGAACTTTGTCATTCTGTTTTACATGTGGTGTAATTATTATGTAAATTTTATCTTTCATTCTGTTAATATGGGTGATTACATTGGTTTATTATCGAAAGTTGAACCATCCTTGTACCCCAAAAATAAGCCCTACTTGGTCTTGTTGTATGATCCCTTCGACATGCTGTTAAATTTAGTTTGCTATTATTATATTGAAGATTTTTGCATATATATTAATCAGGAGTCTTGGTTTCTAGTTTTTTTTTTTTTTTTTTTTTTTTTTTTTGTATCTCGGATTATTTGTGCTGACTTTAGTATGAGCATGGCTACTAGCACACCTGAAAATGAGTTGGGCTGCTTTGATTCTTTTTAAATTATTTTGGCTGGGGTTTGAGAGCAATC